CCACACAGCTTCATGGAAACTGAACAACTGGCTCTTGAATGTTGACTGGATAAACAATGAAATGAAGGCAGAAATAAAGAAGTTCTTCGAAACCAATGTGAACGAAGACACAACATGCCAGAATCTCTGGGACACATTTAAAGCAGTCTCTAGAGGAAAGTATATAGCAATAAGTGCCCATATGAGAAGAATGGAGAGATCCAAAATTGACACCCTATTGTCAAAATTGAAAGAGCTAGAGGAGCAAGATAAAAAAAACTCAAAACCCAGCAGAAGACAAGAAATAACTAAGATCAGAGCAGAACCGAAGGAGATTGAGACACGAAAAACCCTCCAAAAAATCAATAAATCCAAGAGCTGGTTTTTTGAAAAGATCAACAAAATAGACAGAACACTAGCCAGATTGATAAAAAACAAAAGAGAAAACAACCAAATAGATGCAATAAAAAATGATAAAGGGGAAATCACCACAGATTCCACAGAAATTCAAACCATCATCAGAGAATATTACAAACAACTCTATGCACATAAACCAGTAAACCTGGAAGAAATGGATAAATTCCTGGACTCCTGTGTCCTCCCAAGCCTAAACCAGGTGGAAGCTGAAACTATGAATAGATCAATAACAAGGTCTGAAGTTGAGGCAGCAATTAAGAGCCTACCACACAAAAAAAGCCCAGGTCCAGACGGATTCACAGCTGAATTCTACTAGACACACAAAGAGGAGCTGGTACCATTTCTTCTGAAACTATTCCAAATAATCCAAAAAGAAGGAATCCTTCCCAAATCATTCTATGAGACCAATATCATCCTGATACTAAAACGCGGCAGAGACCCAACAAGAAAAGAAAACTTCAGGCCAATATCCATGATGAACATAGATGCAAAAATCTTCAATAAAATATTGGCAAGCCAATTGCAACAGCAAATCAAAAAACTTATTCTTCATGAACAAGTAGGATTCATCCCGGGGATGCAAGGCTGGTTCAACATATGCAAGTGTATAAACGTAATTCACCACATAAACAGAACCAAAAACAAAAACCACATGATTATCTCAATTGATGCAGAGAAGGCATTTGACAAAATTCAACATCCCTTTATGCTAAAAACCCTCAATAAACTCGGTATCGATGGAACGTATCTCAAAGTAATAAAAGCTATTTATGACAAACCAACAGCCAATATCATACTGAATGGGCAAAAACTGGAAGCATTCCCTTTGAAATATGGCACTAGACAAGGATGCCCTCTTTCCCCACTCCTATTCAATATAGTACTGGAAGTTCTAGCCACAGCAATCAGGCAAGAAAAAGAAATAAAGGGTATTCAAATAGGAAAGGTGGAAGCCAAATTGTCTCTATTTGCAGACGACATGATAGTATACCTAGAAGACCCCATCGCCTCAGCCCAAAAACTTCTGAAACGGATAAGCAACTTCAGCAAAGTCTCAGGATATAAAATCAATGTGCAAAAATCACAAGCATTCCTCTACACCAATAACAGTCTTAAAGAGAGCCAAATCAAGAATGAACTGCCATTCACAATTGCTACAAAAAGAATAAAATACCTTGGAATACAACTTACAAGGAACGTAAGGGACCTCTTCAAGGAAAACTACAAACCACTGCTCAACGAAATCAGAGAGGACACAAACAGATGGAGAAACATTCCATGTTCCTGGTTAGGAAGAATCAATATCATAAAAATGGCTATACTGCCCAAAGTAATTTACAGAATCAATGCTATACCCATCAAGCTACCATTGACTTTCTTCACAGAACTGGAAAAAACCACCATGAACTTCATATGGAACCAAAAGGGAGCCCGCATAGCCAAGTCAATTCTAAGCAAAAAGAACACAGCGGGGGGCATCACACTACCGGATTTCAAACTGTACTACAAGGCTACAGTAATCAAAACAGCATGGTACTGGTACAAAACAGAAATATAGACCAATGGAACAGAACAGAGGCATCAGAGGCAACACAACATATCCACAACCATACAATCTTTGATAAACCTGACAAAAACAAGCAATGGGGAAAGGATTCCCTGTTCAACAAATGGTGCTGGGAAAACTGGCTAGCCATGTGTAGAAAGCAGAGACTGGACCCCTTCCTGACACCTTACACCAAAATTAACTCCAGATGGATTAAAGACTTAAACATAAGACCTGGCACAATAAAAGCCCTTGAAGGAAATCTAGGCAAAACCATCCAGGACATAGGAGTAGCCAAGGACTTCATGAACAAAACACCAAAAGCATTGGCAACAAAAGCCAAAATAGACAAATGGGACCTAATGAAACTCCACAGCTTCTGCACGGCAAAAGAAACAGTCTCTAGTGTGAATCGGCAACCAACAGAATGGGAAAAAATTTTTGCAGTTTACCCATCTGACAAAGGGTTGATATCCAGAATTTACAAAGAACTCAAACAGATCTACAGGAAAAAAACAAACAAGCCCATTCAAAAGTGGTCAAAGGATATGAACAGACACTTTATGAAACAAGACATATATGAGGCCAACAATCATATGAAAAAATGCTCATTGTCACTGGTCATCAGAGAGATGCAAATCAAAACCACATTGAGATACCATCTCATGCCAGTTAGAATGGCGATCATTAAAAAATCTGGAGACAACAGATGCTGGAGAGGATGTGGAGAAAAAGGAACACTTTGACACTGTTGGTGGGAGTGTAAATTAGTTCAACCATTATGGAAGACAGTGTGGCGATTCCTCAAGGCCTTAGAAATAGAAATTCCATTTGACCCAGCAATCCCATTACTGGGTATATATCCAAAGGACTATAAATCGTTCTACTATAAGGACACATACACACGAATGTTCATTGCAGCACTGTTTACAATAGCAAAGACCTGGAATCAACCCAAATGCCCATTGATGATAGACTAGATTGGGAAAATGTGGCACATATACACCATGGAATATTATGCAGCAATCAGAAATGATGAGTTTGTGTCATTTGTAGGGACAGGGATGAATCTGGAGAACATCATTCTCAGCAAACTGACACAAGAACAGAAAATGAAACACCGCATATTCTCACTCATAGGCGGGTGATGAAAAATGAGAACACATGGACACAGAGAGGGGAGTACTAAACACTGGGGTCTATTGGGGGGAAAAGGGGAGGGCCAATGGGAGGGGTCGCTGGGGAGGGATAGCCTGGGGAGAAATGCCAAATGTGGGTGAAGGGGAGAAAGCAAACAAAACACACTGCCCTGTGTGTACCTATGCAACTGTATTGCATGCTCTGCACATGTACCCCAAAACCTAAGATGCAATAAAAAATAAAAATAAAAAAATTAAAAGTAAATAAATAAATAAAGAAAATAAAAATTAGAACAACTGCAATTATTTTTAAGAACAAGAAACACATAAAAACATGGGAGCTCTGATGAAATCAAAAGTAAAGACTAAAGCAATTAGAAAAAAAATCTCACCAATTTGCTCCGTGATTAGATTATTTCAAATAAACATGGGAAAATTTTACTTTGTTCTTCTGCTTCTGCTGCTTTTTTTTTGAGACAGAGTCTCACTTTGTTGGCCAGGGTGACGTGCAGTGGCGTGATCTCAGCTCACTGCAACCTTCACCTGCCGGATTCAAGTGACTCTCCTGCCTTAGCCTTCTGAGTAGCTAGCAAATGCCACCACACCAGGCTAATTTTTGTATTTTTAGTAGAGATGGGCTTCACCATGTTGGCCCAGATGGTCTCGATCTCTTGACCTCGTGATCCACCCGCCTTGGCCTCCCAAAGTGCTGGCATTACAGGTGTGAGCCACTGCACCCAGCCAATTTTACTTTTTTAACAGTTTCTTTTTACCTCACTTTCATGCTAACTTCACTTTTAACAGAGTGAAGATGATTATTATTTTCAAGGGTACTTTATAGCATAATGCCAAACATAAAACCAAATCATTCCCACAAAATCACCCAGTACATCCACAGGTATACACTTATATCACCTTTCACAAAATGCTGACCTGGTGAAAATGTTTTTTCACCACCTATTTTAATTTTAATTGTCTTCTTGTCAGAAAGAAGTACCTTAACTAAAATGTGTTACAAAACCTCCAGTATTTCTTCTGTGTTCTGTGTTGTCCTGTGGTAGCCATATAATAATCATCCAGTGCCCATTGGGTCATGCCTTGTCCTTTTTGGTCAATGTTCATGGAATGGCATACAGTTGAACCTACTGTTCACCTTTCTTAGCATTAGTAGCATTCGCCTTTTTTTTTTTTTTTGAGTTGGAGTTTCACTCTTGTTGCCCAGGCTGGAGTGCAATGAAGCAATCTTGGCTCACTGCAACCTCCGCCTCCCTGATTCATGTGATTCTCCTGTCTCGGCCTCCTGAGTAGCTGGGATTACAGGTGCTTGCCACCATGTCTGGCTAATTTTTGTATTTTTAGTGGAGATGGGGTTTCACCATGTTGGCCAGACTGGTCTCAAACTCCTGACCTCAGGTGATCCATCCACGGTTTCACCGTGTTGGCCAGGCTGGTCTCGAACTCCTGACCTCAGGTGATCCATCCACGGTTTCACCATGTTGGCCAGGCTGGTCTCAAACTCCTGACCTCAGGTGATCCATCCACGGTTTCACCATGTTCGCCAGACTGGTCTCGAACTCCTGACCTCAGGTGGTCCTCCTGCCTTGGCCTCCCACAGTGCTAGGATTACAGACATAAGCCACCATTCCCAGTCAGCATTGCTTTTTTTCTTTTTCTTTTTGCAGTCCCTTTTAGTTCTTTTACAGCAATCAATTTACTTTTTCCTTCCTCTCCTGTTTTGTTTCTTTCTTGTTTCATTAATGGTTTTATTTTCCCTCATTTTTCAATTGGCCTCAACACAGAGTCAAGAAATTGTCTTCATCCCTCCAACTGAGAAGATGGAACCCACACAGGTAGATCAGCCCCACTTTGTGCCCATTGATTTGGGGGAGAGATAGGCAAAGAGTTTTCACTGGACTTACTTTGTTCCTTTGGCACCTCTGTGTTTTCTCTTTCTCTGCTCCAACCTGTGTGCCAGTACCAGATATTTACCTGGATTTTATAGGTAGCTTTTATGTCCGTGCTTCAAATCAGTTTGTCTTGTATCTTTATGTAGTTCCAAAGTCCTTTTATGGCTGTTTCTCTTTCACCTCAAGTGATGTAGGTGAATTTGTAAATTTTATAATGTGCTGTGATTTTACATCTTTCTGTCATTTTTATGGGGAATCCTATTCTGACCTTCCCAAACACTTTAGTATTTATTTTCTCCAGCTTTCTGATACTTAATCATTGCAATATTATATTGCATTTTAATGCCTACTAAATTAGATGAACAAAATTGGAAAATGCAGATAATAAAAAAGGAGAGTTAAAGCACTCAATCTCACTACACAGACTTGATTAATAATAGTATTTTCATTTTGATTTATAAACTTTGTCTGCACATGTATGTATTTTACACATATGTGATTTAGTAAAATCAAGTTAGATCATAATGTGTGTATACTTTATAACCTGCTTTTTAGCTTAATGTCCTATAAATAGCTTTTAATATCAATAAACGTATTTATTATAATTTTTAATAGTGGCATGCTATTTTATTTTTTGGAAGTGTCCCATCACATTCCAGTTATTTATTTTAAGTTATATTTCAGGTACACAAATATGACAATAATCCACAACTAACAATCACTATTACACATAGCTTTTGGCTCTTCCAAAACTGTAGCTGAACCAAAATTACAAAGGAAATAATAATTCCCTGCCTTATAAGTCTATAATACGCATTTGAAATGAACATTGTACACATCACTCTTTAAATTTCCACTATTTAAATAAACTTGCTTCTTGCTTATTAATTTGTTTACTCTAACTTGGGTTGATAGTAGTGCTACTTGCAGAGGATAATGCATTTCTAAACTGTTTCTATGTTTTGTTTTAACAGTACCCATAGTAGAAAAATCAGTTTCACAAAGATATGTTGACAGGAACAGAAGAAATTTTGGAATAATTTCAGAAACACACAATATTTATTTAAAATTCTTACTTGAAACAAGTGATATAATATTTTAAAAATATATATTCAATCCATCAGTAGTCACTTCCAACAATTTATCCTGTCTATAATTTTTTTCCTTTTGATAAAAAAATGGATTCTGAGATAATGTGATATTTTTCTTTCTGTGTCTCGCTGATTTCACCTATTGATCTGTTTGTCTGTTCTTTCATCAGTGCCACACTGTCTTCACAACTGGAGCTCTATTGTAAGTCTTGAAGTTGGGTAGTGTCAGTCCTCCGACTTGGTTCTTCTCTTTTGATATCATGTTTACTAAAAAATTTCAAATATAGAGATATACAGAACAAAATGTCGATTAGCAGGGTAGCTGTGGGAGGAAATGGGAGATATAGGTAAGAGGATACAAAGTAGCAGATATGTGGGGTGAACAAGTCTAGAGTGCTAAGGTACACTGGGAGGACTATAAGTAATACAATTGTAATATACATGGGATTCATGTGAAATGAGTAGATTTTGCTTCTCTTGCCACAAAAACAAAAAGAATGGGTAACTACATGAGATGATGGGTATGTTAATTTGCTTCACTACAGAAGCTTTTTGCTATCAATTTGTATCTCATAACATCACCCTGTATATTTAAATAAATACAATAAAATATATTTATAAAAAAGAAAAATGTATTCAAGAAAGATCAATTTTCAATTTTTGGACTTCTGAATTTTATATTCCCTCAGAAGGAATATAAAATTTGTAAGGTGAAATTGGTAACAGCTTGTTGCAGATGTGGAATATCAACATCATCAACCATTTTCTTGTAGTTGTCAAATTAAGTTATGTACCATCACTATCTGTAAAGACTTTTTTTCTAAGCTTTTAATGTTTATTTTTGCCTTTTAATCTTACCTGCCATTTTAAAACATGTTGCAGTTTTTCTTTGCATAGAATTATCATAATCATTACATTATTAAACATATCATACAAACAAGTCATTCTGGTCATAGGCATATCTTTGAAAAGTTGAGATTAAACTGGCTTCCTGTCTTGATGAAATGCAAACAGTTTACTACCTATTTCAAGTGTTTTCAACAGAGCTTTTCCAATGGAATAATTGGTTATAAAGAATGTTTCGTGAAGAGGACCTTTAAATCCTTTGTTAGTTGTATTCCTAGGTATTTATTCTCTTTGTAGCAATTGTGAATGGGAGTTCACTTTTGATTTGGCTCTCTGTGTGTTACTGGTGTATAGAAATGCTTGTGATTTCTGCACATTGATTTTGCATCCTGAGACTTTGCTGAAGTTGCTTATCAGTTTCAGGAGATTTGGGGCTGAGATGATGGGGTCTTCTAAATATACAATCATGTCATCTGCAAATAGAGACAATTTGACTTTCTCCTTTCCTATTTGAATACCCTTTGTTTCTTTTTCTTGCCTGATTGCTCTGGCTAGAACTTCCAATACTATATTGAATAGGAGTGGTGAGAGAGGGCATCCTTGTTAGTGCCAGATTTCAAAGGGAATGCTTCCAGTTTTTGCTTGTTCAGTATGATATTGGCTGTGGGTTTGTTGTAAATAGCTTTTATTATTTTGTGATACGTTCCATTGATACCTAGTTTATTGAGGGTTTTTAGCATAAAGGGCTGTTGAATTTTGTCAAAGGCCTTCTCTGCATCTATTGAGATAATCATGTGTTTTTTTGTCTTTGGTTTTGTTTATGGGATGGATTACATTTATAGACTTGCACATGTTGAACAGAACTACAAACCACTGCTCAATGAAATAAGAGAAGACACAAACAGGTTGAAAAACATCCCATGCTCATGGTTGGGAAGAATCAACATCATGAAAATGACCATACTGCCCAAAGTAATTTATAGATTCAATGCTATCCCCATCAAGCTACCAATGACCTTCTTCACAAAACTGGAAAAAACCACTTCAAACTTCATATGGAACCAAAAGACAGCCCAGATAGCCAAAACAATCCTAATCAAAAAGAACAAAGCTGGAGGCATCATGCTGCCTGACTTCAAACTATGCTACAAGGCCACAGTAATCAAAACAGGGTACTGGTACCAAAACAGAGGCATAGACCAATGGGGCAGAATAGAGACCTCAGAAGCAACACCACACATCTGCAATCATCTGATCTTTGACAAACCTGAGAAAAACAAGCAATGGGGAAAGGATTCCCTGTTTAATAAATGGTGTTGGGAAAACTGGCTAGCCATGTGCAGAAAGCAGAAACTGGACCCCTTCTTGACACCTTACACTAAAATTAAATTCAGATGGATTAAAGATCTAAACATAAGACCTAACACCATAAAAACCCTAGAAGAAAATCTAGGCAAAACCATTCAGGACATAGGCATAGGCAAGGACTCTATGATTAAAACACCAAAAACAATGGCAACAAAAGCCAAAATAGACAAATGGAACCTAATTAAACTTAAGAACTTCTGTACAGCAAAGGAAGCACCCATTAGAGCTAACTGGCAACCAACAGAATGGGAAAAACTTTTTGCAATCTACCCATCTGACAAAGGGCTAATATCCAGAATCTACAAAAAACTAAAACAGATTTACAAGAAACAAACAAACAAACAAACCCATTCAAAAGTGGGTGAAAGATATGAACAGAAACTTTACAAAAGAAGACACTGATGAGGCCAACAAACATATGAAAAAATGCTCATGATCACTGGTCATCAGAGAGATGCAAATCAAAACCACATTGAGATACCATCTCACACTAGTTAGAATGGTGATCATTAAAAAATCTGGAGACAACAGATGCTGGAGAGGATGTGGAGAAATAGGAATGCTTTTACACTGTTGGTGGGAGTGTAAATTAATTCAACCATTGTGGAAGACAGTGTGGTGATTCTTCAAGGACCTAGAAATAGAAATACCATTTGGCTCAGCAATCCCATTATTGGATATATATCCAAAGAATTATAAATTGTTCTATTATAAAGACACATGCACACCTATGTTCATTGTGACACTGTTTACAATAGCAAAGACCTGGAACCAACCCAGATTTTCATCATCGATAGACTGAATAAAGAAAATGTGGCACATATACACCATAGAATACTATGCGGCCATAAAAAACAATGAGTTTGTGTCATTCGTAGGGACATGGATGAATCTGGAAACCATCATTCTCAGCAAACTGACACGAGAACAGAAAACCAAACACCATATGTTATCACTCATAGGCGGGTGTTGAATAATTAGAACACGTGGACACAGGGAGGTGAGCATCACACACTTTGGTCAGTAAGGGTGGGCTAGGGGAGGGACAGTGAGGGTGGTGAAGGTGGGGAGGGATAATGAGGGGAGAAATACCAGATGTAGGTAATGGGGGGATGAAGGCAGCAAACCACCTATGCAACAATCCTGCATGATCTGCACATGTACCCCAGAACATAAAGTACAATTAAAAAAGGAATGTTTCAGTTTTCTCAATTTTTAAATATATTTTCTTGAGTTAGAGTTGACAAACCAACTTTAGCATATTGCATGTTGTAATGTGATCCTATAGAGCATGACCAATATGAAGCTTACACCACATACAACTTGTTATATAAGCCACATGCATAATGGTTTATACCCTGTTCAATGAGATGGAAGTCACAACGTGATACTACACACTACACTCCACACTTGATCTTAGTCAAAAAGCTGAGAAGCTGTATGCTTTACTTTCATTTTCTATATTTATGTTTTCATGAAATGGCAAGGAAGGAAGGAAAGAAGGAAGGGAGGGAGGGAGAAAGGAGGAAGGGAGGAGGAAGGGAAGGAGGAAGGAAGGAAGGAAGGAAGGAAGGAAGGAAGGAAGGAAGGAAGGAAGGAAGGAAGGAAGGAAGGAAGGAAGGAAGGAGGGAAGGAAGGAGGGAAGGAGGGAAGGAGGGAAGGAGGGAAGGAGGGAAGGAGGGAAGGAGAGAAGGAAGGATGGATTCCAGTACTGGTCTGTGGTCTATGGTTTGAGTATCACAAATCTGTCAACCGTTATGACTCCATGTTTGACAGACAGGCTGTATTCTGCAGCTAGAGGTACAGGGAGTCAGGTCTAGTCTTCTGAGAAGGGGAATGGAGAAAGCAAGGTCACTCAGGCTGAAAGAGTCAGTAAAGAAACCACAGCCCAGTAGTATAAACTGGGTCAGAATAAATACAGGAAGAGGAGAGGTAGCATGGTTAGGGGTCCTAGAAAAAGTATAGAAATAAATTCTAAATCTCAATCAGTAGTGGGTGAAGGATGGTAGTATATTCAATATCAGGTTAGGATTGATTTAGAAACAATATCACATGCAATGTAATGGATATTGTTTGGCTTGCATAAACCTTCTTTATTTAATTCTTCCAACAATGCCTATTAAATTTAACTGCCATTTTACACACAGGAAACTAAGTTGCAGCATGGTGAGCAATATGATTAAGATCATGTAGTTAGAAAGTGGTAGATGGTCTGTTCAGGGATGTCTGAGTCCAAACTATAGTTTTCTACTAAACAGGGCACCTTTGGTGACTGGGAGTCTGACTGAGTCTCTAGGTAAACTTGAGTCAATCAGCAAGAGTGGAATGAGATGGAGGCAGAGTGCATTTATGAATGAATGCATGGGGCTTCCACAGCATGGCTTTTCACAAAGCTTGAAACTCCATGTGTATGCAGTATCCGATCCTCAGTAGTGGCCTCCAGTGACACATGTGGTATGGTCAGAGGAGCAATTGTGACATGATGGTGACAGATTCCACCACCAGGTGTCCTTCATGGTTAATCTTTGCTTTAAAAACATCTTGCTTCTATTGAACAGTTATTCTTTTATTCTCCTTTTTGTGATTTAAAAAGAAGTTGACTCAGAACCTTGGAAAGGCAAGAAAATACAGTTCTCTGCTTCTCCCCTAACACTATGCAAGCCTAAAAAATGACAAGTGGCTGGGAATCTTACAACAATGCTTGTACAGTATGCCCACTTGAGTCGAGTATTTTGAATCTAGAGAAAGTATTTATCTACTAAAGACCTTGAATTTCTCTAGTTAGGGATGAATTGGTTCTGTGACTCTGATTTAAAGTAGAAAGCAATAAAAGAACAGAGCACATTTTGAAATTCACCAAATACTTACTGAGGGCCAGCTCTGTGCCAGGCACTATTCCAGGCTCTGATAAGTGAATATGGTAGAAAATGCTTATTATAATCCTAGATTTTGTATTCTGTAGGTACTCTAGTACTAATCTACCTGCAAATTTCAATTGGGTGTGTCAGCCAGGTTTCCTAAGAATAGACTCCTATCAGCAGAGTCTTCCAAGTTCATGGATGGTCCAATAATCTGGCATGAATTTAGGGTGGAAGGGTAAAGGCTGCAGACATTGCTAGATTCTTATATCTTGTTCATGCTAGGGTATATGATGTCTCTAAAATATTAATGCCTTTAATTTCACAGATGAGAATCAATTTCTAATACTATGTCATAAGCCACTCATATTTTTAAAACTTGGACATGTATTATGCTAATTAGAAAAGGGTCTGATATCAACACCACTGATTGCCTTTGAAGGGTGAGTTTTGTGATTAGAGCGCCATTTCATTGCCACTCCTAATTAAAGTGGAAGGAACATAAGTTTCTATTTAGCTTAATGCAATGAAAAAGTAATTAATCAATATTACACCATCTACATGGAAGTAGGTAAACTACAGATATTGTAGCACTAGTCCTAACCCTCAGGTCTTCAGATTCAGTGGACCTCAAATGGGATCCAGAATTCTGCTTTTTAACATTCATGCCCAGTTGAAGGAAGGCCTCCCTCTGAGTTTTGAGAATCACTGGATTATTCTGGTAGAAGTACTATAGGAGGCTAGAAGAAAATGAAAGGTGGTAGCTAAGCCAACTCTACACCCAGTAAATGGACTACTCAAAACCAGAAGTAATAAACTATTGATACAGGAACTGAAGGATCTCACGGGCATTGTGTTAGGTGAAAAAAAAAGCCGACCTCAAAAGATTACAGACTCCATGATTCTGTCTACAGAATATTCTTAAGGTGACAGAGTATATGTCAATGAACAGACCAGTGGTTGCCAGGGATTAGGGATGGGGTTGGACTGTAAAGGGGTAACACGAGGGAGTTTCTTTTTCCACCGTAAGTCAAGGGATTTATGGTGGTGGTTATATAAATCTCTACATGTGATGAATAAACCGATTATCTGAGGGTTAGGACTAGTGCCACAATAGCTGTAGTTCACGTACTTCTACATAGATGGCTTAGTATTGATTGCCTTTTAGTTGTATAAAGCTATAATAGAAACCTATGTTGCTTCCACTTTAATTAGGAGTGGAGATGAACTGGCACTCTAATCACAAAACCTACTCTACAGAGCAATCAGTGGTATTGATATCAGACCCTTTTCTAATTAGATGGAAACTTTCTACAGTCTCAAGTGTTTGGGGGATGGTGGAACTGTTCTAAATTCCAATTGTGGTGGTTACATAAACCTCTACATGTGATGAATAAACTATATATACACACACAAAACATAGTGAGAGCATTTAAAAACTAGTGACATTCAAATAAGTTCTGAGGTTCAGCCCGTGGTGTTATACAAATGTCAGTTTCCTGGTTTAGGCAGTTAAACTGTGGTTATATCCAATATGCACGTGAGGGAAGCTGGCAGAAGGATACCTAGGAGCTCCTTGTAGTATTTTAGCAACTTGTCTGTGAATATAATATTATTTCAAAATAAAAAGTAAAAACAAAAGAAATCAACAATAACCAGCCTATGTTGAAGTTGCCAATGTATTAAGGATTAAAGGTAGTGTCTGAAAAGACAAACGGGGAAGGTAAAACCCATGGAGGTTGAGAATATGACAGAAGCTCACACAGACACCCTGCGTTCAGCTGTCTGTTCTTCTTTCTAGTTGTGACCTCGGGCAAATTAGTTAACCTCTCTGTGCTTTAGTCAACTTGTCTTTGAATTTGGGAAATAGTATCTATGCTGAAGGGTTACTGTGAGGCTGAAGTGAGATGTGTACAGAACACATACAGAACGTTTGATACATAGGGAGGACTCCAAACCATGTCATTTTGTTGTTGTTGTTAGCAATGTGGAGACAGAATCATCAAGACTTACGTTAAAGTGAGTGTGAGGACCAGAGGCCAGTGAGGGATCCTGGAGGAGAGGACAGAATCATCATGGGTAGACTTAGAGCAGGTAGCTGTTTGGAGGAGGAGAGTCGTCTTTTGTACGGAATACACAAATGAAGCTCACCTGTTGGCTTTGGGGAACAGGGTATCAGGGAGACACAGAAAAGAGAATTAACTAAATATAGTGAATTGCACTACCTCCTCTTCTTAACAGGTTCGAGCCAAGAGAACAAAAACTGAAGTGCTTAAAGCTGATCTCTGGAATACCGACAGATGAAAATTTGTATATATTTATGGTGTGCAACATGGTGTTTTGATATATGTGCATCTTGTGGAATGATTAAATCCAGCTAATTAACACATCCATCACCACATATACTTATCATTTGAAGGAAAGTAAAGTTGTGTAGAAGATAAGGCAGGTGTTTACTTTTGTTTTGAGTGCTTTACAGAGGTAGTGCTAATGGAAATTGCGTTGATGATTTCACTAAGTTCTTAAAGAACAAAGTCTAATACAGTTATTCAAAGATAATTGAATGAGCAGGGACCGGGGATGCTGAGGTGAGTACAAATGGTTTACCTTCAAGAAGCTTATATCCTAATGACAGAGTCAGACTCAGTGAAATACACAGTTATTATGAAATCCAATCAGGCTGTGAGACAAGAATTTAAAGTGGTTGGTGAGGAAAGGCTTTGCAGAAGAGGTCATCCTGAACCTGCCTTTGAGCAAGTCTTTCTCTGTAATGGGAGGGTCTGTGGGGTCTCTGGGGCTAAGAAGCAATCTATGGTTTAAAAGTAGCCGCATGATAATATAATTTTGGCCAATATTGCTGGCTAATTGTGGTCCCGCCATACTCACTCATAGACTCTTCCTGAGATCTGAAAACTCATATCCATTGGAAAGGGTAAGAGTCCTGGTCTCTTATTTAATGGTCACTTCACCTTTTATAGAGTTCCTTGTTGGGCAAAGAAATGGAGCTCCTCCATCCCCACATTAGGGAACAGAGGGGAGGGGGTTTGGGGAACACAGGACTGGCCAGCCCTGATCTCCGTCATCAGATGGACATCCTGTTCACTTCCTCTTCCCATCATGAGTTTCTGCTTTCTGGAGTAATAGGTGAAGGAAGTGCAGTCTGGGCCTAGCCTCTTGGGGGCCAAGTTTGCTCTTTCCTGATCCTTCTCTGATTTTACTGGATACCCCTAAACACACCTCAGCTTTTGCATTATTAATGGAAGGTCCTGTTGATGGGTACTGTCATAAAATGGTTTGTTTTTCGGAAAAGCAAACTAAAAGATATGTAAACAATGACGTTTGCCAAGTGTTGGAAATAGAATATTTCAGAATGAAGCACTATCATTTAAGTGTGAAGAACATAGAGCTAAACAAAGAAGCTGCGTCTTAGAGATGTTCTATTCCAGGCCTCTGCTTTCCATCTGAGAGTGAATATTCAAATTTAAACTATTTTATTAATATTATTCTTTAAATCTCTCTGCCAGAATCTCCAACAAGAGTCAGTAAAATAGCTAAGTAGTTCACTGAATCTATCGCATAACTGTTAAGATGTGCCATTATTTTGTATAACACTAAGAAAGAAAATTCTGCCATTTAACCTGTAATACTGTAAGATTTCAAAGATGTTACATAGTAGGAAGAAAGTAAACAGTTAATATAGTATGGTATGTCTTTAGATGGAAGATAGATTTTCCTTTTTAGACTTAAGATAATTGGAGAAACTGAATATTTTATAATTAGGCTGAAGTTTGAATTCCATTTCTGCTGTTGTGTGACCTCAGGAAGTGACATTTCTTTAAACTCTATTTCTCCCTCTGTAAAATGGGATTATACCCACCTTCGTTGGGTTGAGGCGAGGAATGAATGATTTACTGGATGTAACGCTTCTATCCCAATCCCTATCCCATGGTGTACATTTAAAAAATTAGTTTTTCTTCTCCTTATTTTAAACCGATGTTATTCTTGTGTTAATTTAAGTCAAGTTCCTCCAGTGTCAGTCCTCTAAAGCACAGGCATAGTTCTAAATTGAGATCCCTCATGAAGAGGAGTCTTAGTCATAGCAGAGCATTGTTCTTTCTTGCCATCTCTGTCTCCTCACTTTGTCTTCCTTTCTGCCTTGCTGGTTGAAATGTAGAATTCGATGATTAATTCACTGTATTGCTTTGCACATAGACACAAACATTCTCTGCTTGTTGAATAGTTGTATATGATCATCAAAAGGAGCAACTCTAATTTTTACCTCTTATGGAAAATGTCTTCTTCCTAGTTAATGCTATAGAATGTTCAATATTGCCTCTCCAATTTCCCTAAGATTTTAATCATACCCTCTTTAACTCATTGCTTCTCTTCTGTCACCAACTACCTCGTTTATTGAATTATCTCCTCGAAAGGATTTTTAAATTTTATTTCTTCTGTTTAAAACTTTTGGGCATCAAAGTATACTGTAAAGAAAATGAAAATACCCACAGAAGGGGAGAAATATTTGCAAATCATTTGTCTGATAAGGGTTTAGTATTTAGAATACATAAGGAAGCTTTCAAATCAACAATAAAAAGATAATCCAATTAAAATTTGGCAGAGGATTTGCATATATATTTCTCCAAAGAAAATATACATATGGCCAATACGTATGCGTACAACAGGCATCGGAAAAGATGTTCAATGTGATTGGACACTAGGGAAATGCAAATCACTACCACAGTGAGACACTACTTACCTTCACAAGGATGGCTGTCATCAAAAAGAAAGTAACAGGCGTTGGTGAGGATTTAGAGAATTAGAGCCCTCATACTTTGCCAGTGGGGATGTAAAATAGTATAGTTGCTTTGAAAAATTGTTTCCCAATTCCTCAAAAAGCTAAATATAAAGTTCCTACATGAGCTAGTTCTAGTCACTCTATTGTGCTCCTGAACACTAACACTTATTTCTTCTATGTGACTATATTCTTGTACCCACTGACTGGCTCCTCTTTATCTCTCCCTCCTCACTACCCTTCCCAATATCTGTTGACCACCATTCTATTCTCCACTTTCATGAGATCCTTTTTTTAGCTCCCTCATATGAGTGAGAACATGTGACATTTGTCTTTCTGTGTATGGGTTATTCCATCTAACATAAAGTCCTCCACTTCCATCCCTATTGTAGCAAATGACATGATTTTATTAATTTTTATGGTGGAATAATCTCTTTCTCTCTCTCTCCATATATATATATTTTTATGGTGGAATAATCTCTCTCTCTCTCCATATATATATATATATATATGGAGAGATTATTCCTAGCTCATATATATATTCCATTTTACATTGTTCCATTTTCCATTTTCTTTATCCATTCATCTGTTCATGTACACTTGAGTTGATACTAAGTCTTGGTTATCATGAATAGTGCTGCAATAAACATGAGAGTGCAGATCTCTTTTCGATAGTCTGAGTTCCTTTCTTTTGGATATATATCCAGCAGTCAGATTGCTGGATTAAAGCTTTCCATAGCAAAGAAAATAATTAATAAAAAAAATAAAGAGACCTACAGAATGGGAGACTATTTGCTAACCATTCAACTGATAGAGGATTAATTAACAGAATGTATAAGGAACTCAAACAACTAAATGCAAAATAAATCTGATTTTAAAATGGGCAAAATAGACATTTCTCAAAAGAAGACATACAAATGGCAACAGATATATGGAAAAATATTCAATATCACTAGTCATCAGAGAAATGCAAATGAAAACTACAATGAGATATAATCTCACTCCAGCTAAAATAGCTGTTATCAAAAGACAGTTGTACACCATTGGGGAATGTAAATGGGGACAGCCACTGCAGAAAACAGCATGGGGAGGAGGTTCTTCAAAACCCTCTTTAAAAAGTTAAAAGGGTAAATTGTATGGTTTGGTGTGTGAAACAAATCTCCATACAAATAATGTTACAAGATAACCAGTGATATAAATTAGCCCAGAAGAACTAAATGATAGTATAATGTCTTAGTGCATATGACAAAATAATTGTTGAATAATATAGCACAGGTGGGAGCTCAATAAAAGTAGAAGAAAACCTTGTGGAATAGAAAGTATTTGAGATGAATCTTAGAGAATAGGTAGAAATCAGTCAGAGAGAAAAAAGAGAAGACTATTTCATGTCGGGGAACAATACCTAAACAGGATGAAAGCAAACATTTTATTCGTGTTCAGGAGCAATAATTGAATAACCAGGCCAGACTGTGGTTAAATTAGGATGTAATGAGAAGGCAGCAGAGAAAAGTTAAAACGATCCCACGCCAGGTCTTCAATATCTGTGGCATCTGGACTTCAATTGGTAAGCACTGGAGAATCGTTCAAGGTGTTTAAGTGGGGATGTAGCAATCCTAATTAGTCGTTTGTAATGTAAGTGAAAGAGCAGGAGCAATTGAGAAACTAGACCTAAATTGAAGGCTAGAAAGAAGAGAATTGGATTTTAGAGACATGTTAGAGTAGACAAAGCTTAAAGTACATGAGGAACTTCATTAGAAAGAAAGAGTGAAAAAGGAAGAAATCAAACACAACTCCCAGCATTGAATATGGATGATGGGGGAGGAGGCAAATGGAGAGAGACAGGAAGCTGAAAAGGAGGTGCATGGGAACTGGACCACGGGCTCAAACTGAACCAGCTCTACAGTTTTACATTGCAGATAGGAGATCATTAGGAAATAATTTGCAAATACTCAGACATGCAAGCTTGGAAATCAGACGAGTAAACAGGATTGAAAATGAAATTACATAAATTAGTCACCTAAAATTGATAGAGTTATGGGAATGCATAAGAGTTTTGGGGGAAGGTGACACTTTGTAAGGAATGTGCACATTTGATTGTCAGAAAAAAATGAAACTAGTGAAGATGAAATTGTATGTCTAAGAAAGTAGAGAGACTTAAGAGTGGGCCATCTTGGACGCTAAGGAAGGGCACGTTTCTCAAAAGGCAAGGAAGCAACAGGTCAGTGTGGTTAAAAACAAATCTCACAGAATGAGAATTGAGTAGAATCCACTGGATTCAACAATTAAGAAGTCATTGGCAGCATTTGGGAAGACAATTTTAGAAAAGCATTAGAAAAGACAGATTAACTCACTGAAAAATGAACGTGATATGAAAACATTCAAACTTGAACGCAGACTGCTTTTGAGATGTTTGGTTGTAAAGGAGAGGAGACAGATTCAATGGTTTGCATGGGCATCTAGGCAAGCAGTTACCTTGGAATGGTGGGTGGTCTCAAGCCTATAGGCACAGCTAGATAAAAGGGCTACATTCATTCAGCAAATTCAACAAATTCTACCTTCCACGCGCTTGTTACTAAGTGCTGTGAATATAGAAGTAAACAACATAGACAAGAATTCCTGCCTTTGTGAAGTGTACAGAATTTAGATGCATTAGTCTCACTAGTGAGTACTCAAGAGGATGGTGCAGTTCAGACGCTTCTGTTCATTTAGAGCGAAGGTTCGTTCATATCACTTTTAATAACTCATTGACAATTGGGTGTTGTAAAAGGTTCTTCAAAGCAATTCTTGTCCAGCTTTGTTGGAAACAACCGCAACAGCCAATACAGCAGCAACAAATGTATGAGGTGCAGCATCAATGACAAGAACAATATTGCTCCACGAACCAGGTGAGATCAAGGAAAAGAGAAATCCCCAGCGCTAAAGCATCAGAAAACTCTCATTGCATAAATAACTCTGGCACCATTTTTCATCAGCTTCTGCAGTAAGAGAGTTGCCCAGATGTTTATCTGCAACTTTCTGTACTTTTATCTTTATAGGAAATGAAACTTGTTAAAGTTACGCTTTTGCATTTTTGCAGGAAACAGCTGCAGTGAATCAGAGCTGAAGAAAGGAAAAATGCATCACGAGATGACAGAAAATTTTATTAATACATTAAATGAGACACACAATTTTTCTTTTTAATAAACTTGAAATTAGGTGCTTGTCAAAAAAATAAGCTAAGATCCATTTAGGATATACTATTTTGCGGACCTTTTGTTTGCCGGTGCAGAACTGCAAGAGATTCTCTTAAAGACTCTTAAGTTCTTTTGGAAAATGTTTAATTAGGAAAGCTCTGAGAAAGACAACTTCAAAAAAAAAAAAAAGGCTATCATTGAATGGGACAGAAAGAAGTAGACTTCAGCAGAATTGAGTTTCGTGTAGGCATTTTAGCATTCTAACCTAGGATGCATGCTATTGTTTAAATCACTAGTTTTCATGGCAGCTGTACTGATAAAAGAACTTCAGCTGAATTAAATTTAAAGGAGTTTAACTGAGCAATGAACAATGCGTGATATCAGGCAGCCTCCCGAGCCAGAGTAGGCTTGGAGACTCCAGCACAGTCACGGGGTGGAAGAAGATTTATGGACAGAAAAAGAAAAGTGACGCACAGAAAATGGAAATAAGGTACGGATACCGCTGGATTGGTTACAGATTGGCATTTGCCTTATTTGAACACGGTTCAAACAGTTGACTACATTTGATTGATCAAAACTCAGTGATTGGCCGAAGTGTGGGCTACGGTCCGTTTATACCTCCACTGGTTACAGTTTACAATGTACAGAAAAAACTGTAGACCAACCTTAAAATATGTAAAGCAGCAGCTTTAGGCTAGACATGATTTAACTGGAATTATTTGGGCAACTTTTAAAAATCTCAATGCCTGATGCTAGCCCAGAGATTCTAATAATTACATCTGGGCTCAGCTTAGGCATCATGGCTTTGGAAAACTCCCACTTAATTCTAATGTGCATACATTTGGTAACCCCTATTCTAGATTCCTTCTGTGGAGTCCAGAATATACTAAAACTTAAAGCCCAAACAGTATGGAGTAAAGTTGTGTCCTTCTTTCTTTTATTTCCTTTCTTTTCCTCTTCCTTCCTATTTTTCCTTCTTTTTTTTTTTTTTTTTTTAACAACAAAGTTATCTATTTTTTCTTTGGTTGCTTGTGCTTCTGGTGTCATATTTAAGAACTCATTGCCTATTCTAAGGTAACAAAATATATACCTATGATTTCTCCTAAGAGTTTTATAGTTTTAGCTCCTACCTTTAGGCCTCCATTTTAATTTTTGTGTATGGTGTGAGGTAGGTGTCCACTTTTATTCTTTTGCATGTGGCTATTCAGTTGTCCCACCACAATTTGTTGAAAAGATTGTTCTTTTCCCATTGAGTTTTCTTGGATCTTTACTGGTTATCTCTTAATACATATACTTATATCATTCTCAATTAGGCACTAAGATTTTTGAGGTCAGGGAGCTTCTCTTATCTTTATACCCCTCCATACATAACAGAATGCTTTACCTGTAGCAGGTACCTGATGAACAAATGTCTCTTCTCCAGCCAGATAGTAAGTTCTAAGAGGAGACAACGTAGGTATTCTTGCTTAGCATTTTGAACTGCTGAGTAGGCTGAGGTCAATAGAGGATAATTGTAACTTTGCTTTGATTTTGCCACCACATGATTCTATCGTATTCGTTTATTACTTGGTCCTTTTTAGCTCAGAAGACATAACCAGGCTTTGCATAAAAAGAAACCCAATGAAGGATTGAAAGACTTAACCTAGGAAAATTTCAGATTTAAACCTCTCCGTCAGTGTTTTAGGTTATGTATCGAGAATTTAAAACAAATCAAATTTCATAAATGAACTCATGCTAAATGAATGTGAAGTAACTATTTCTGTGTATTGGATCTTTGACTATTCTCTTGTCAAAGTGAAATTAAAAATACATTTTCTGGGTTTCAACAGGTGCTAGTACTTCCTACTGGTAGACTTTGACAAGACTTTAAATGTAAAGCTACATTTTGAATAAAAGAGGAAACATGTATCTTGCTCATGATTTCTGTGCTCTGAAAGTGATTTGTAAAAAGAAAGAAAAGGAAATTTCCTACATACTCAATTATAGAGGAATGATATATTTATTTACATTGATTCATGAAATCCTAAGTTGAAATTATGTATCAATAAGGAAAAATCTATAATACACTGTTACATGTAAAAAGCAAATAATATGCAGTGGTTATAACTGAGTAAAAAACCATCCTGTTTTCCTGGGACTACCTTAGTTTTAACATTGAAAATCCTGTATCCCAAGAAATCCCTCAGACTTAGACAAACTGGGATGATTTATCACCTTATTATAAAGAAAGAGTATAAGAAAACCAGAAGAAAATGAAAAGAAGTTATGTCAGCCTCCTAGTCAATGAGTGCAATTGTTTTTTTTAAGTTTATTTCCTTTGTGGATATAACATTTTTTTTTACAAAAATACAAATTGAGAGGAAAAACTGAGGCTAGAGAATGTATCTTCCACTTCTGAGCAAAGCATGTTTACTATTGGCCAATGCTATTATTTGATTCTATATTGCAAAGGGGTAATCAGGGAAAAGATCATAGGCATTTTCATTCTTCTTTAATAATAGACAGTAAAGGTGTCTCCTATTATAAGAAGTTATGTGAGGACAGCAAAAACTAATTATTTTCAGGTCATACAAATGACTCAAAATTCATAGAGAAACCATGGGTTTGGAGAGGAATCCTCATACATATTTCAGAAGTGGAGAAAAAATAAGGTAGAAATAAGACCTTGTATTTTTCAAAAGTTTTCTGATTTTCATTTTTTTCTCAAGCCTACTCCTACCATGCCCTCTTCCTTCTTCTCTAGTTCCAGGCAAAATCACCTGCCATATATATTCCAGTCATTGCCTGGAGTTCTGGGAGTGAGGAATCTATTATCAATGACCTATCCCATGAACATTTTCTTTGGGAACATGTGTAAAAATGCATAGACATGAATATTCAGTGAACTGACACCTCACATTTCAAACCTAGATTGGGGTTATGTAAATATGAACTCAAGGCTGTCAGAGTCTCCCATGGTCTAATGTTCCAAGAGTAAAGAAAAATAGAGAAACACCCATGTTGGAATCAACTGTTGCAGAAAAGAATACAAAGATAGTTTTATTAATTTAGAATGAATTTGAGAACTTTACATAGCAGAAATGTTCTGTCTCATTTTTTTCTAATTATAGGGAATATCTTCCACTAGCAGTCTCTAAAAATACAGAAATATCATAGGGAGTGAAAATTACATTGTCTCTTTACTGGCCACAATCTGGCAGCACTCATCATGTAGCAAATGCCCAAATAATAGACTATGGATTATAATGACTTCACCCCAGGTTAACATTATTTCTAGGAAAGGTACTAGGTAAGGTATATATGAATTGAAAAGTAGGGCAGCTATTGCCTCAGATTTGGTATTTTAATTACATTGTTTCCAAGTATGATATTCTGAGAATGTCTATAGCATGTAGTGCCTGCTTTATACAAACTACCAGTTAATTATATATTTATGATGCAAGTAGTTTTCCAAATGTGGTGAAAGTCTCAGCCTTTTTCTCCCCATGGGCAAAATCTGATTTGATTCTCTGTGTCTCTTAGTGCTTGTTTAGTGCTGGTCAGACTAAGTTCTTGATAAAACCTGTTGACTTAGCTCTCACAGTTTATGCAGACATTGAAGAGACAATTCGGTTATTTCAAACGTCACATCTTATTTGAATAAGAAGACCTGGTTAGGAAACAAGGCTCTCATAATTACCAGTTGTGACTGTTGACAAGTTACCTTTTCTTGTTTACAGTTATTTTACCTCTTTGAATTACTTGTAAAATAGATATTCCTTCTTGATCATGGAACATCAAAAGAAGTTATTTCATGAAATATGTTGTCATCTGGAAATTATAAATACAACTAAGTGTTGATTATTATTTGAGATTTGGGTACCTCATTGTGGCATTTTCTATGGTCATTTTTTTCTTTTCTTGCATAAAGGCTAAAAAAGGTAGACATGCAATCAATAGCCTAGAGTGGGAGTTAGGAAAAGTTAAGGCAGAAACATGTCCACACATAAGCTACGTTGTTTTTACAAAAAACAGGTGAGTATTGGCCATTTAGAGCTTCTCTCACGGGGTGTGGTGACTCTAAGAATGTGCCACGGTGTCAGCCTCATAGAAAGCTAGATTGCATAGGTTCTGTATTGTTCCTAATTATTGTTATTTTTTATTGTCCTTAAAACGATGCAAAAGGGAGTCTACCAAACATGTAGATGTGGGAAAGAAAAGATAGTTTAGGGATAAAGGAGCAGTCATATATCCTTTCTATCAGGTGCAGAGTCTCCGTGGTTGCTGATGGAGAAAATGGAAAAAAAAAATCTACTACTGAAAAACCTATCCAAGGAACAGGTTAGTAGGAAATCACATTCTGAAGCACTCATACTGCCTTTCTTCAATGTAAGCAAGTTGCACAAAAGAATAATTATGACAATGCAAGCTGCGACAATGGCTGCTTTCTCTGAATGTAAAAGAGAAGGAGCTATGGGCACTCCATGCAAAGGCCAGATGGAGAAGTGGAGGGTACGTGCAGAGTATCTCAAGAAATGAAAGTCAGCAAGTCTCTTGGAAGCTATGAACACTAATGTTTAAAAAAGGGAACAAAACAGAAGAAATCATTTAAGGAGAGCTGTCGTTTTCTACTGGTGAGGATTCCTGATCTTGGGGAGGTTCTGGAAAGTTTGTTTCCATTTCTTCTTCTTCCTCTTGGATTGGAATAATTTCAATGTCTTCTTCATTCTTTGGTTGGGAAGATGTTTCAGTTAGCTCAACCACTTCTTTTATTTCAATGGCCTGTTCTTTTTTTTCTTCAGCTGACAGGAGAACTATGTTCTAGAACACAAAATTAAACAAAGTATTCATACCTTTTACCATTGGCACCTTCGTCAACAATCCCTACAAACATTTATCAACCACCTCCTGGTTTTTATGCTACTTATGCAATTCATTATATGCCTTTAAATGCCAGGATTCATTTCTTGGGTGCATAAATCCTCATCAAGTCACTTATTAAAACTCAAGTCTGAGTAAATCTTCAAGGGCAGTAGACATGTACCACAGTGCCTGGAATGATCACATGGTGTTGGGAAAAGAACACTGCAGTAATAGAGGAGTTTAGATTTTAGTTCTGATTTGCCTTTAGTGATTATAACTCTGGGAGAATAATTTTCTCTCTTTGATCTTATTTTTCTTTAAATGCAAAATGAAGGAATTAGTGATGATTTCTAAATTCTATTAATCTAACAGTCTGGTTCTGAAGCAGTTAGTAATAGATGTATTATTGGTATCTTTTTATTTCCCATTTGTGGAGCCCCTTTAACTTATTGTTTTGGAAGAGGAATTAGGTGAAAAAGAGGGAAGGGGAATACTGAAAAATGAAATAAAAGAACTAGTGGCTTTAGTCAGCCTTCAACCTTCAGTCATTTTGCTTTTACACATTAAATATGGAATCATGAAATCAAGATGGAAGCCTGAAGTCAAGCAGCGGGACGGTTAGTAAGAAGACACACAGAAGCCGGGCATGGTGGCTCATGCCTGTAATCCCAGCACTTTGGGTGGCCCAGGCAGGAGGATCACCTGAGGTCAGGAGTTCAAGACCAGCCTGACCAACATGGTGAAACCCTGTCTCTACAAAAATATAAAAATTAGCCAGGTATGATGGCAGGTGACTGTAATTCCAGCTACTCAGGAGGCTGAGGTGAGAGAATTGCTTGAACCTTGGAGGTGGAAGTTGCAGTGAGCCAAGATTGCGCCCTTGCACTCCAGCCTGGATGACAGAGTGAGACTCCATCTCAAAACAAACAAACAAAAATGTAGAATGTAGAACTGTAGGCTCTAACTACAGACTTATTTCAAATTTCAAGGCATCTTTCCATACTATTGATATTGTTTGCTTTCCAGAAATATACCAAGACCATTTTTTAAAAAAATCAAGCTCCTAGTTTCAAAGTCTCATCAGATTACATTCTCCATAAATGATCTTTTGTGGAGGTGGATTTTCTAGAGGAAGGTTGTGGCCAGAGGGGCTACTTCTTACAGATTTGGGTCTGGAGCACATTCTTTTCCACTCATTCTCAACAATACCAGCTATTACAAGCTCCTGGAAGAAGGCAAAGATCAGCATCACTGACAAAATCCCCTGAAAAACAACAGAAGAATGAGGGTGAAAATGTAATAATGGCACAAAGAACATTACTGGTGTTGGGTAAGTTATTGTTGACTATAATTGAATGATTCAGAGATCAATGCTTTAGACAAGTAATGACCAGCTGTGAGAACTGCTAGAACGGGAGACAGCATCCTTATAACCCTAACTCTTAGCACAACTTTCTGCACACGACAGATGGTTAATGTGTATTGCTGATAGAAGATAAGGTATAAATAATCAGCTGAAGAATTCATTCTATATAGGAAAGATGAGTCTCAAATTCAATTGTATTCAGCCTTAGGTGGTGTGGCATCATGCCAAGGAGACCTCTTTATCCTTGGGAAATGCATTTTTTTTTGGTCTCCTTCAAACTCTACATTTAGAAGTCCTTGGGCAAACGATATTCATAATATCTTAGGTATTTCTTCTATGCTAATCTTACTTAATCAAAATAATGACAGATATTAATGCCATTAATGATGTCGACAATGACTAAAGTTAAAGCCAATGCCTGTATAGCACTTCTGTGTACCAGGCACTGTTCTGAATGCTTTGTAATATATTAACTGACTTATTCCTCGGAACAATCCTGTTAGATAAATAGTGTTGCCATCCTCATTTTACCATTGAAGAAATTGAGGCAGAGTGTCATGGCAGTAGCTAGGAAACTCAGGTGGTCTGGATCCAGAGTTACTTCTCATAATAAGCAAGTCATCCTTCCTCCCTGGAAAGAAATCCAATTTCACACTTCCTGAGAACACTTACCAAGAACAGAGTTTGTATGCTGTAACAGTATTGCGTAGACGGAGAGTTTTTCTCAGAGGGAGTAACTGGTTCACAGTTGTATATGTTAATAGTTGGTGTGTAAGCTCTAATAAGATTCAGACTCTCCATTTTTAAAAAATGGGAAAGTTTAATATTAAGTATGTCCATGATTGAAAGAATCATTCCAGCAATGGCAGCAAAGAGGCTCAATGAATTCATTATCATTTTTCCTTTGACCTGAAATGGAGACACAGATTTGTTAATTAGGTTTGATTTTCCTTTGGAAAACATAATCTGGGAAGGAATTCCAGATGCCACTCCCCTGACTCACGAAGCAACTGCAACTAAGTATACTAAGTTCTCTCAGTTGTTTTTAGCCTCTTTGTCCCTATAAAATAAAACCCCCCCTTTTTTTTTTTGAGACAGAGTTTCGCTCTTGTTACCCAGACTGGACTGCAATGACACCATCTCGGCTCACCGCAACCTCCGCCTCCTGGGTTCAGGCAATTCTCCTGCCTAAGCCTCCTGAGTAGCTGGGATTACAGGCACACGCCACCACGTCCAGCTAATTTTTTTTGTATTTTGAGTAGAAACGGGGTTTCACCATGTTGACCAGGATGGTCTCGATCTCTTGACCTCATGATCCACCCGCCTCAGCCTCCCAAAGTGCTGGGATGACAGGCGTGAGCCACCGCACCCGGCCCAATAAAATCATTTTATGCCATTACCATACATTCATTTTCTAAAAGCAAAAATTCTAGGAGTAACCCTTGATTCTGTATCTTGTATCCTTGCACTTCCTTCACTACCTCTGCCACCATCCTAGTAGGCATTCAATAAATATTTGTGGAACAGGTGAAGACATATGATCCAGTTTGTTATCTTCCTTCATACATAGGTAGAGGGAAGAGGGAGAAGAAGGTTCTCGTATCACACTTGAGTGGGATGGTTGTGAAGTACAGGTTGGGAAGGTTCAGATAGAACCCTGTAGATCTGTACTATCAAATGCATGGAAATAAAAAGCAGAAGCAACAACAGTAACAACACCTACTCCCTGCTGACGTAGGCTGCAATCAGCCCCAGTCCATCGTCTTACAAAATACAATTAGGGCTGATGTCTTTGAGTAACATAGGTAAGAGAATATCAGCATGGATGTTTTTCCTTACAGGGACAATAAAAGGTTGAAACAGGAAATTATATCGACAAGTACCATAATGGTATGGGATTATTGATTATTATTTTATGCTACACATATTTCGTTCCTGGCTCTATGGCCTACACGTGGCAAGTCAGTAGGTCTGGCTGTATTAGGAGAATAATTTGATTTTTACAAATAATTTTTTCCCCAAAAACTGAGTTTGTCAGACCACTTTAAGAGAGGAACCACCTCAATCCACGCATTCCCTCATTGATTATGAAAGTGACTCAGTTTAGTAAGTAAGAGACAGTGTTGGGGGAGGATTTTTTGGGGAGCAAACTTGCTGGTAAGCCCTTTTCATCCATACGGTATCGGCAGCTCTGTAGGCCAGTTTCTTCTGGATGTAGATGAGTCCCCAGGGGTTTTATGGGCAAGACACAGTGTAGCACCTTATAGCCTCTGAAGCACCATCACACACACTACTGCATTTCTTTTCCATTGTGAGGTCATATGGTAGCAAGGACTGTTACTCTTGCTTTATAGGTGAAAACTCAGAGGTAAACTGACTTGTTCAATGTTACACCCCAAAAATAGCTAGAATTTGAATCAATCATGACATCGATCAGATAATTTTCCTAAATAGTGGTCTGGGAGAAATTGTAGGGCTTTCAGAGAGGTCTATTATTTTCACACAGCATTTAACATAAGACTGTAGGTACAGTTTTCATGGATCTGCTTTTAGTTCTGTTTCCATGAACATCCTTCAGATAGACCTACCTCACTTGTAAGTTTTTCATGAATAAAATCACAGTAACATCATGGAGGGTCTTTGCTTTATGGGCTTAGAGTCTGTGTCACCTTGGCTCTTTAAGCCTCTCAGTTTTTGACCAAGAAAATAGGTACTGCTATGCCACATGGGAAAGAAGGACATATGGTTACTTGCCAAACTCTTCCTGGAGTTTTTCTCCGTTGCTGCCAGGAGTGATCCAGAAATAATATACTGTAAAAAGAGAAGTGGGGGAGTTGGAGAGGAGGTGGGCAAAGCAGGAGAAAGAAGAGAGAGGGAGGCCACCTTTTAACATTGAAAACTGGTCAGAAGCCTGTACTTTCAGCAACTTTCACACAGCAATCCACCCATTTTTATCAGGTTCATTCATTATTTGGCAGTCATATTTCTCCTTTATTCAGGCTCAATAACACTCAATTCATGCCTTTTACTCCATCATCTGGGGAGCTGTGACTAGGAATATAGTAAGACCAGAGACAGAACTCAAATATTTCCTGATCAGTTAATACTCACACCATGAACTTAAAAGTTGTATTTTTAGTTTTTCTTTGTTTTTAATTTGTGGAGCTGCTCTTTGGGTTCACAGTGACTTAGATGACTCTGATGCCCTCTGAAGGGTGAATTGATACAGAAGGCAATAGTTGACCTGAATGGCACAGGCACTCCATTAAAACATGGGCTATTACAGGAAGTGATGATGATTATTGCTCATCTTCCTTTTCTCACGTTCAGGTTGTAGAATGGAGGAAACTTGTTCTAACCCGTCTCTACTTGTCTGGAACATTTTAATCCTGGACTTATCTTTATAGTGGCAACCATGAAAAGTGTCATGGGGAAATATACATCACTGTCCTATGTGCCGCACCTAGACAGGGTTACAGATTTGGAAAGCATGTACATAAAACAGCCAAAAGAGCGCTGCTCTGCTGATAAACAAAATGAGATCAATTTGGGATGGGACAGATTTCACCAGGTACCACAGTAACTAAACAGAATTGTAGGGAAGAAGGAGTAGATGGGAGGGAGTGGATGCTCCTGCTCCCTCTTGCTTTCCAAAACATCTTGCTATCTAGTCCAAATGTTTAGTGCCACCCTGCCCACCAGAACTGCCTCTGGAGAGTTCTTGCTTTGGACAGTCCCTGTGAGATCCTTGCAGAGCCTCTTTTCCTGAATTCACATGAAACAGGACCACTGACTCTCAACCATGGTGGGATTTATACTCAATTTGGCCAACCTCTCTTCTTAATTACTTTAACCCGATAATATTTCCTACTCATATATTTCCCTCAACACAGAAGTAATCTGGCATCTCCCTGTGGAGACTTTTAATATTGTTGTTTGCACCATTTCCTAAATGACTGCCATTCTTTTACTCACCATAATGCCTCCCCAGAGAGGGTACCACACAGTCACACAGATAGGTGCATACACCCCTGCTGGGATCATCAGAAGACCACCAAGGGCAATGTGGAAGAGCCCATTCATAATCTGGACAGCCTGGGGAAAGAAGAAAGGCAGTGATGGATGAGCTGAAAGCATCACTGCTATCAGGGAAAGGCAAGGTTGGAAGCCCTGGCTCCTGACTTGGAGCCATGAGGAATACCTAAAGGAACCAGTGGAGGTGCCAAGAAGTTTGTATTTTTCTTGTTTGAATCTGTTTCCTCAACTACAAGTGACATTTCCAGGGAGCAGGTATGCCTGGGATTCTGGAAATGGACTTGGATTGGAGACCTCTAAATATACATGCCCCAAAACCAGAGGTGATCCAGGTGATAACTCCTCTGATGCAACCCTGATTTGGCCCACTGTGTTAGACATAAAGAACACATCAAGTTGGATCCCAGTTCTTCAAGTTGGATTGAATTCTGTATGTGGCCTAAAGTATCCGCTTTTGTTGGCCAGAGAATCCCTATGACATAGGGCATTGAAGGCAACTGACTTACCCCCAAAACCTTAGATTCCCTCAAGAAGAAGCTTTGCGTGGGGCCCACCAGTGAAGACATCCTCCTGAGGATTGGTTTTGGACCAGGTTGCGTAGCAATAGGGCCTTTCATTGGCTCTGCTGGGAAAGTCCCATTTACTGAATTTCTGGGTGTTGTCATTTTGCTCTCAAAACTCCTAAAAATAAAACAAATAGCAAAGTGAGGAAAGCAAGAACAAGATTTTTGGCAATTCTACCTTGTGTCATGCAGCTGAATGCTTCTCTCAGCATTTCCTCCATGAGTGTCATTGAGGGTAGACATGGCCTCTTCTGTGGGACCTCAGATCTGAGGCAAGGCCTACTGCTGAGTTCTGAGAAAGGGTGTGGAGGGGTTGCCTTAGGCAAGAACATATATGGACCCAGGAGTCCCTGCCAGTGTTCTTGGCAACTGGGTTTGGGGTATACTTTGTCTTCATAGAAAACACCTTGCATATATGACTGCATGTCCTCTTCGTTTCTTATTCCTGGATGCTTCCTTGTGCTTTAATATTGGAAAATGTATTTTCTGTGGACTTGTCCTTCTGCTTATCTGCCTTTGTCCATTATGATGGGCTAGAGGCAACACTACAGGGTATCGTGAGGACAATATGTAGAAGCAGGAGGGGTCGATTCCAGGCCTCCCTCTGTTTCTAACTCTACCACCTTGTGCAAGTCACATCAAGAAGGCTCTCTCGTCTGGGCACGGTGGCTCATGCCTGTAATCCCAGCACTTTGCGAGGCTGAGGCAGGTGGACCACCTGAGGTCATGAGTTCAAGACCAGCCTGCCTAATATGGTGAAAACCTGTCTCTAGTAAAAATACCAAAATTAGCCAGGCTTGTTGGTGCACACCTGTGATCCCAGCTACTCAGGAGGCTAAGGCAGGAGAATCGCTTGAACCCAGGAGGCAGAGGTTGCAGTGTGAGCTGAGATTGTGCCACCGCATTCCAGTCCGGGCAACAGAGCGAGACTCCATCTCAAAAAAAAAAAAAAAGGGCTGTCTAAATCTTTCTAATGTGGTAAGATTGTGGCCTCCTGAGTCAGATTGCCTAGGTTTAAATAGCGATTCCTCTATTTGCTCTGAGATGTTGGGCAAGTTCTTTAAATTCTCTGAGCCTTGGGTTCAACTGTAAAGTGGGAACAATAATTCTCATGGGCTGCTATAACATTTAACTGGGCTCATCATGGTCTGTGCACGGCTAGTGTCTTTCTGTTCAGGTGTAGCCCAAATGTCAGCTCCTAGAGAAGTTACCCTGAACCCTCAGTCTATAACATATACTCCTATTTGCTCTTTTTTTTTTTTTTACAAAATCCTATTTTATTTGCTTCATGGCATTGATCACTGTGGGAAATTACCTTCTTATTTATTTACATGCCTATTGTCTATCTTTCCCCGCAGAATGAAAGCTCCATCAAAGTAAAGATTTTGTTCTCTCTTTTTCAGTATCTAAAATAATTCTTGAATTTAGTTACTTCTTAACAAATATTACTGAAAAAAGAAATGTATGCAAGGAACCCATGTTGGATTAGTTATTTTTGTTGCTATTCTTGTTCTTCTTTGTATCTTACTGAGCATTCATTTCTATTTTATCCTTCTGTGAAGAACAGGACCCCTCTCTGAGATGCTGTAAGACATAAATAAGTTAACATATGTAATTGTACCTATTACAAACGGAGAGTATTTATCAGTTGTCATGATTTATTCATTTCTGAAGTGAGAAGGCAATGAATAAGGTCCTTTCCAGTTCAGACTATTTTTTTGAGACCAAGTTTCGCTCTTGTTACCCAGGCTGGAGTGCAATGGCGTGATCTTGGCTCACCACAACCTCTGCCTCTTGGGTTCAAGCAATTCTCCTGCCTCAGCCTCCCAAGTAGCTGGGACTACAGGCATGTGCCATCATGCCCAGCTAATTTTTGTATTTTTAGTAGAGACGTGGTTTCACCATGTTGACCAGGATGGTCTCGATCTCTTGACCTCATGATCCACCCGCCTCAGCAGACATTTTAAGATCCTGTTCAGTCTTCATCTTGGGTTTCCTTAGTTACCAACTTATGTGGACTCTATCAGGTCTTTCCTGGAATCTGAAAATCCCTCTTTTGGGGACACACCTTTGGTCTTGTCTTTATTGATTGTAAGTCATGTAAGATGTCTTAGAAATCAAGATTGTTTATCCAAGTCACATATCTTACTGAAGCCAGTGCCACATCCCAGCCATTAGACCACAGGCTGAAGTAGATCAGAGCTGAGTGGCTGCAGGTGTGCTGTAAAACAGGCAGCTAGTAGTTACTCACATTTATACCTACTTTAGAGTTAGAAGTAACTTTTACACATGGCATCTCATCTGAGCCTTATAGGATAGGGAAGGGGTCAACCATCACCTCTGTTTGATAGAAGGGGAAACAAGGGCATGGAAAAGTTAGGTTACTTATTCCAAATTAGATAATTAGTAAATATTTATTTATTTGTTTGTTTCCATTATAGGGTCTCGCTCTGTCACCCAGGCTGCAGTGCAGTGGCATGATCACAGCTCACTGCAGCCTCCACCTCCTGGACTCAGGTGATCCTTCTGCCTCAGCCTCTGGAGTAGTGGGGACCACAGGCAAGTGCCACAACACCAGATAATTTTTATATTTTCTGTATAGATGGAGTCTTGCCATGTTTCCCAGGCTGGTCTTGAACTCCTGGACTCAAGCAATCTGCCCGCCTCCACCTCCCAAAGTGTTAGGATTATAGCTGTGAGCCACCATGCCTAGCCAGCAAAGATTTAAGATGAAGACTTGAATTGCTCAAATGAGGAATCCAGGGTATCAGGCTGCTTTGTCTACTGTGAGAAACAGGAATTCAGCCTTTCCCTTAGGAACTCCTTCCAATATATGCACTATTTGAATAACTATAAATTAATTGAAAATTATTATCTGTTTGGGGCATGGGCTAGAGGGACAACAAGAAACTTTGGTTGTTTCTCACTTGATTTTGCCCCTGACCTAGACAGACAGCTGTCACACGGTCCTGGGGATCTGCTTTGTACCACAAGCCACCCTGCAAGACTGCTAACAAAAAGAAATATTTTAATATAGTTCACTAAAGAATTTGTAGACTGATTCTGTTCACTAGGTAGAATTTCTAGAGCTAGTGCAAACCTCAGAAACCATTCTGTTCATTTAACAAATGAGGAAACTGCAGTCTGGGTTTAGAACCTGCCTTGGTAAAGACCTCACACTTAGCAACAAAGCCAAGTTAGAAGGCAGTCACCATGTCTCTGATGTTGATGCTTTTTCTGCTGTACCATAGGTGAGTCCAGGTAATTATAGTTGTTTACAGAGAAACTACTATATACTAGGGATCTTGTATATGGTATTGCCAATTCACTCAACACCTTCCTAAGTAGGCATTTTGACTACTTTTTGCAGATGTGGAAATGGAAGTTCAGAGAGGTTATTTTTCCCAAGGTCCTATGGTAAGTATAGAATGAACTGGGAGTCACTATACTCCATTCCAGAGGGGTAATTTTAGTGAAGATAACTAAAATGCAAAGGTCATAATTGTTTGAACTGAAGGAGATGATTGGACTGCCACTGCTTTAATTTCATTTTATTCATCAACTGCTTGATTAAAGCTGTGTCTATATTATTGGTGAGAGAAACCTTTTCTGTAAGCCAATTCTATCTGGGCTGTGCCTGTTATGACTAATGGCAAGAATGACTATGAGGTGTGTGTGTGTGTGTGTGTGTGTGTGTGTGCGCGTGTGTGTGTGTGTGAGACATTTTATTTCTCTGTTAAAATGGTATCTCATGATGGCAACTATATTTCTACAAGCCTTAAATATTTGTATGAAATAGTTTATAAACAAAAACATGAGTGTTTTCTCTATTTTTTATTTTTTATAGAAACTATCGCTGTCATATATATATATATCTGATATGTATATATTTAGTTCTGATGAAAACCTTTCATTTCATGAGAATTTATAAATGCATAAAACTAGCCCACATACTCCTATGGAAATTGTAGATTCACACAGTTTTGCGTTATCATTAAAATAAATTGTTCACAATGACTTAGTGCCCAATGCACAGTTATGCTCGAAGATTAGTTGGTAGATTAGTAGGAGTTATGGACCACATTCACCAAAATATGATGACAATAAGATTTTACATTTGCTGGTGCCAAAATCAGAATGGATATTAAAATCAGGACTCAGGTTATCACTCAGTACCCCATTTAATTACTCAAACTAACTCCTGCAAATATTGTTTTTATTATTTTTAAAGGCACCCTTGTATTCATGTGCATCCACTGAAGAAGAATCTCACAGCCTCTATGGGTTTTGGTGTGAACAGACTTTCATGTCCACTAGTACCATGGCCTCCTGTGCACTTATCTCTGAGGAAGAATGCTGTTACTTCCCTTCCCTCTGTGCTTTTCAGCCCTTCTCAGTCCACCAAGCTGTTAGCCCTTCCGAGAAATTATTTCTTCTTTGCACTTTCAGTCTCTCAATTTCTGACAATATGTAGCAGACAGAATTCGTCCCAGCTCTCTTGCTTGCTCCTCTTGTGGTTTAAGTTTACGATAATAGTTGCCTTCCCCATTTCAAAGTATCATTTTAGGAAAATGAGATGATTTGCAATTGATACGGTGCTAAATACTCCTTTTATGACTAAAACGTACGGCAGTGTCCCTGAATCCCAAAGCCCTGTCCTTTTAATCTAGCAATGTCCTTAGCCACTGCCCAGGTTCCCTTTTTCTTCACCACAGCTTCTTCAAAGCTGCTACCCACTCTCTCCCTCCCACCTCCTCACCACCCACTCACTCTTCAATGCTTTGCAACTAGTTTCCGCCGGTCACTGGACCGAAACTGTTCTTTGAGGACTGTGCTGTGAAGTCAGTGGTCTTTTCTCAGGCCTCGTTCCTTCAGATTGTTTTATTTGTTTTTCCTGCCACCCAGGCTTAGATAGTTGGGACCACATTTCACATTAGCTCCATCATCTCTCAGTCCATCTTCATCTTGGCTATTGGTCCGTCAGTGGTCAAGTCATGCCATTTCTACCTCTGCAACGCATATTGCACGTGGGTCTTTTTTCTATATCCAGTGTTACCTGTGAGTTTCTCATTTCCACTCATGATTTAGCACACAACTTTTGCTTTTCTGCCTTCAGCCTTTTTCTTTTCTAATCCATTGTCCACAAGGTTGCTACGTCAAGCTCCTGATCACTACTT